ATACTGGGCCCTGAGGCTTGATTCCAGTTCCCAAGTGGCTCTTCCTGCATATGGTTCTGGCATAGGACATTGATGAAAGAAATTTTTCAGTTGCGAAGTACTCTACTCTTTTAGTCTACAATGCCTACCGACATCTCCTCATAGGATAAATCCTCTTGAAATGAAAGGGGCTCATGGGATAGAATGTGTGAGGGTTTCCAGTTGTACTTGCGTAACATGGATACTGGAACACATTATGAATCCTGAATAGCTATGGAGATAGTGTCAGTCTGTAGGCAGTCGTACAAGTCTTGTCTAAGATCTCAAATGGATCGATGAATCAAAGATTTAATTTCTCCCTCTTGCCAAACCTACTTATCTCCTTGAAAACGGTGACCTTAAAAAACACTCGATCACATTTTTCAAATTCCAGATCCCTCATCGGGGTGTCTGCATAACTCTTCTGTCTACTCTGAGCTGTTTGCATGCTCTTTCTAATTTTAACTATCTTGGTTGTAGTCTCCTCTCCAAGATCTGGGCAAACAATTTTCTATCACCCACCTCTATCCAACAGATCAGTGACCTGTAGGGGCAGCCATACAACATCTCGTATGGGGGCCATACCGATACTTGGTTGGTAGTTGTTATAGTAGGCAAACTTTATCAATGGTAGGTGATCGTCCTAATGGCCCCTGAAGTCTAGAATACAAGCTCGGAGCATATCTTCTAATGTGCGGATCGTCCTCTTTGATTGTCCATCGGCTTGAAGGTGGAATGCGGTACTAAAGGATAGTTTCGTTCCCATGGCTTGCTGAAAACTAAACCAAAATCAAGAGGCTTGGGGTTTTTGTCGAATACCATTGTCACTGGAACTCTATATAACCTGACTATTTTCCGGATATATATTCTTACTAACTTATCCAAAAGGTTGATCATCTTTATAGCCCAGAACTGATAGGACTTGGTGAGTCGGTCAACAATTACCCAGATAGTATCATGTTCTGACTGAGCCTTAGGCAACCTAGTCACGAGGTCTATTGTGATATATTCCCACTTCCACTCCGGGATTGATAATAGCTGAAGTAGTACGCCTGCGCATTGATGCTCTGCCTTAACCTGTTGACATACCAGACACTTAGAGACAAATTCAGATATCTCTCTCTTCATCCCATTCCACCAAAATCGGGGTCGCATACTTTGATACATTTTAGTACTTCTAGGATGTATGACAAATTTTGAGTTGTGAGCCTCTATCATGATGTCCTTCTTTAGTTCACTATCATCTAAAACACACAACTTATCTTAAAACCTGAGCAACCCATCGGTAGAGACTCAAAATTCTAGATTTACTCCCTGTTCTGCATCATTCTTGAGAGTTGTTATGGTGGAATCAATTGATTGAACTTCTTTTATTCTCTAGATCAATTCTAATTGGACAGTCATGTAAGCCAAACATATAACTCTCTTTAAGTCCTGAAGTCGTATATGTTGTGCGGGCACTATCACCCTGCATTAAAAAATCATTAGGTGAGCTAACATACTTGTACTTTTTTTGCTAAGTGCATCGGCTATCATATTGCTCGTGCCCGGATGATATAAAATATTACAATCGTAGTCCTTAAAGAGCTTTATCCA